TCTGCTTCTGTTCTGTGTTTGTTCGTTCTGGTTTTTTTTCCTGTTTTTTTTTTGTTGTTTTTGTTTTTTTTTTTTTGTAACTGTAACTGTAAATTCATGTAATACACTACATGTGTAAGTGGTGCTGACATATAGTCATACATTCGCAGTTATTCCAGGAATCTGGAATTCATGATGCTTTTGAAAGCACTTAATTTATATGTGTCTGCACGAAATACCTTGGTCAAGCAAGCCTTTGCCTCCGGATAGTTATTTTTAATAGCAGGGGCCAAATTATCCCAGTAGTTAAAAGCTGCACCGGAAAGTCTAGATGGCAATAGTTTAACCATATCAATGGGAGTAGCTATTGGCAATGCATCCAAAGCCACCTCAAGTCTACGGCACCAAACACTGAAAGCCTCAGTTCCATTCCCAGCAAAGAATGGTGGTAATTCAACTTTTAACGGCGATAGGTAACTATTATTACCAGCACCAACTGGTTGTGCATTACTACTACCCTGATTAAGGTCAGGGGGAGGAGATGAGGATTTCTTAGATTTTTTACCCGGCGCCATGACTATAGCGAGTCTAGGCCTAGCAATACTGTACTAACAACGAAGTACGTAATCTAGCAACAAATGCAAAATGAATTAGCTGATTCACGCTCAGCGAGCGTAGGCCTACACAGATGATATACGTGTACGTGTAGACGGACGAAATAACAAAATTATGGGGGATATACGAAATAAAGTACGTTAGGACTGAAACCATATAACCTACAAGGATATATATACCACAGGCTTTAAAAAAATTATTATAGATACAGTACTGTGGCCTAGGGAAAATTGACACATGAAAAGATACAATCTTCGCTGTGCGTGATGTGGGATGAGTGGTCGGCGGCTAGCTGATGATGAGGCTGCACACTACTGATGATGATGCGATGCGGCTCGGTTATCTCCGGTAAAAGAAGATAACGGCAGGTCACGGCACCAGTGTAACTCTCTATGGATGTTACTAGATGAGTTCGGACTTCAATGAATGAGCCAGACGAGCCAGACACCAAGTAAGCTGGATGTTAACTGTTTTATTCTATACAAAGTGTGAGCCTCCAACAAGACGCAGCTTGGCTAGTCGACGAACCCCCACGAGAGAGCGAGACTCCGCGGGAACATCCCATAATAGAGTCCTTGAAAGTTCAAAGGTTACACTAGTGGTTGGGCCAGCTAGGCCAGAACCTGGTCCAGCCATCAGGTAGTTGCGGTCAAATCTGTCAGCGATCAATTATAATTAATTTTCTAAACCAGAGAAAGCTGGTCCGATCGAGAATGCCATTTTCGGGCATCAGATGTGACAAACCTAAAATGTTTAACCTCAGCTCGAACCATCGTGGGGCTAAGGTGGGTGCGGCCCATTTGTGGGGGAATGTTGGGCCATCTGTTGGGGAAAAGCTGTTGCCGCCACTGGTATGTCTATAACGTGTACAGTATTAAAGATATGCATAGTTTAATTAATAGTATACACAAATATATAATCAGTATTTTCTATATTATGTAATACTGTGTATGTAAATATAGCATAGTTTTAAATTGCGTCTAAATTGTTTCTTTAAAATATGTATTTTACACAGACACCTGAACAGCAATTGAGACAAATTAAGGGCAACTTAAATATATGTTATACAAACATGCTGTTCATAATTAGACAAAAATATCATGAGCCACAACATGGAAGAATCCATGCCCACACTGTGTCATTCCAGCAGTGGAAGTTTCATATATGTTCTTATTTTGAAAAACTATCCCAGTGCAATACTTTAGTATGAAAATGCAATAGCAAATAAATGAAATTGTATTAACAAATCTATATTTTTGCGTACGTATATGTTACTGTAATGTATGTCTGTGTAGCATTGTAGGGTCTATTGATATAGTATTATCAAGTTTTCTATGAGACTGTTTAGTTTATGGAGGGTCATAATCGACATGAACTTTTTATTGCTTATGTTTTGAGTCATTTCAACCAAATAAAGTAAATGTAGTTTGACTTTTTTGTGACTTCGCTGATTTCCGGTGTGATTTCGACAATCTTCGTGCGCTGATTTCATAGTGCAATTGATGTGTGATGCTCAATCCAGTTTTCCCA